TCATTAAATATTCTTAACCTTTTCCAACCTACTTTCTCAATATATTTTCTCAATATCAGTTTTTCAGCAAAGATTTATTTCCACACTTTTTTGTCCCATTTTCTATTTTTTCTTGTTTATTCAGTAATTTCTAAGACAATTTTGAGTCCTTTCATAGAGAAATAGATGGATTGATTTTCAGGAATTGTATTTTTTATGGTAAAGAATGGGAGTTACGAAGGATTATTTGCGTTATAATTTGAGTGGTACTTGTAATATCATTGCATCAACAAATGGAGTTTTAGTAGCTATTACTGATTCTATCTGTGCTGTTGCTGCATGTGAAAATGTATATTTCTATAATTTAAGAACATGCGAAAAGGTTTTTTTGATTAAAAAATGATTTAAAATCCATTTAAATTTTGTTATTTAAATTCTAATTTCTGCTCTATTTTCGGTTCACTTATTCTCTTTAGTACCTAATAAAATTTCTTATCGAATTCTGAAAAGTGATTTTTTTAAAAAAAACTTGGTATGGTTGAATTATAGATTTCAGAGATTTCTGGTTCAGGCAAGAATGTCACAACTCTAATATTCAGCAGTAATAAGGGATTTCTTGCAGTTGGATACGCTGATGGCATTATTCGCCTTTATAGTAAACTCAACAAAGGTTTGATTGAAAATATTTTTTGGTTTTTTTTAATATAAAATCGAAATTATTTCGAGTACTGGTCTCGATGACCAAAAGTTTAGTTTAGCTTCTTATATATTTTTAGAAAATATATTTTCAATTTGGATTGAAAACATGGATGATTTCAAAATGTGATTTAAATATGATTCATCTATTTTATTCATTTTTTTATTTTATTCATTATATTTTAATCGGCTTTTCAGACAAATGCGAATTCATAACTTTTTCTGGGCATAAAACTGGTGTTAATTGTCTTGCATTTAGCCCTGATGAACTTGTCCTTGCATCAGGTGGTAAGGTAACTTTTATTTTTTGTTTCTACTCCGTCTTTGCCTTTGCCATTGATACTGATTTTTCGCCCATGATTTATTTTTTTCTATGGAATCTAGTTTTAGGATTCTCGAATTGTATTGTGGGATATTGTTAACGAATGTGGGTTATGTCGATTGAATGGCCACAAAGGCTGCATTACAAATCTTCAATTTACTCAAAATGGACATTTTTTGATCAGTAGGTAAGGGAGCTTTTGTTTTCTTAAAATATTTTTTTATCAGATTCATAGTAATTTTGCTTTTTTTATGGTTTTCCACCAATTTTTTACAATGTTTTTATTTTTAATTTTTTCATTTTTCTTTCAGAATTTTTTCTGTCTGTAATTAATTAACTTGAAAATAACGTTTTTTGGCTACATTATTTTGTTTTGACTTGTCATTCTTTGATTTATTGTTAAATTTATGGATCGAATCCTTTTTTCAGTTCGAAGGATACATTCATTAAATTTTGGAACTTACATACTGAAAATTGTTTTTATACTCTCACTGATTCCCGTTCTGAAGTAGGTCGTTTATGGTTAGAGTTATTTGGTATTGAGTTGAGTTTCAGTAGAATATTTAGCGTCAAGTATTTCCTAGAATTTTGATGTTAGCTGTGGATTTTTAATCTTAATTTATTCAATTTTTTCATACATGTTTTATTATTTTATTTTGTTTTATTTATTTCATGCATTATTTTGCAAAGATCATAATCATCCTTAACCTCGGGTCTTCTACCATAGACTTGGGAGATTGAGGATTCTGCACAGTATCTTAGCTATTTTTGATAGTGTGCTGTTTTGGATAGAGATCTCTTGTGTTGTTCCTTTTCTTCTTCTTCTTCTTCTTCTAACAGCTCTCACCGTTACTGGTTAGACTGTGTCCGCTGGCTACATGGGTAAGACGGATCGTTTCATAGTTGCTCGATTCGATGCCATAGCTAGTAATAATAGAAGCTATTCCTTTTTCCATCATCTATGTCCATATATCGCTGATCCCTCTATACGTTCAAAATCTTTCCCGACTATATCAGTCCACTTCTTGATTGACCTTCCTCGCTTTTGACGCCAACCATTGCAAGATTCGGCAAGTAGTGAAATATACATCAACTCTTATGGTGGACGACGGAAAACGTACCCTAAACCAGCGAAGACGATGCTCTATGAAAACGGGTGGTATTTGAGCAAAGATAGATATAATTAATAATAATGTGCGATTTTATGTGCTCGACGATTCCTAAAATGAATCTTAGACATGAGTGATCAAAGGCTGATAGCTTTTTATATCTTCTACTCTCATTGGCCATGTTTCATAGCCATATAGCAAGAGCGAATTGCAGCTATATGGACGCGGATTTTCATCTTTATGGTCGTTATTTTTGTGAAATCTGCTGAGGCTAATTTTTTAAGAGTCGTAGTTCCAAGTGCTCCAATTATCACTGTATTATTTTTCCTTTACTTTCCACATCTTTTCTATATACATCTTATTCAATAAGTGTCACTAAAAGTTCATTATTCCACAATCAAATTAAGACTATAATCGACATCTTAGTTTATATTTAACATAAATCTGGACCTAAATGATTTCATATCATGTTCATTTATATTATCATTTTTACGTTTCTCTATATTTTCGTTTCTCCTTTCCCTTTCAGCCCTTGGTATTTCTCTAACTTCTTTCTGATGTTCTTGTCACTTGGTATTGCTATATCTATCGCCAGTGCCGATTTCTGAATTTTGTCTTTTACCATGATATCTGGTTTATTGGCCAGTCCTTATTTATTTGTCTGTACCTTCGGTCTGGTCCCATAGGACTTTCGCCTTTCTGCGATTTTTCGAGGAATCTTCTTGGCAGAGTCTAAGTTATATACCGAGCAGATATTCCTTTAGATGATACCAGCTATTTAGTTATGCCTTGTAGTGTATACTGTGCCTGTTTGCATTTTACATCATGCAACTATATGCACATTATAATATAATACATTATTTATGTTTTTGAAATATTTATTTTTAAGGTATATACATTCGCGTTGCTTAAGAATGATACTCTGCTACTCGTAGGTACGGCGGAACTCGAAATCCGAATTTTTCAGTTAAGATGGTTTGCTGAATGTGAAACCTATGATGAAGATTTAAACAGTATCGATAGGAATACAGAAGAGTCTTGGAGCGATGTTGATGGCCAAGCAAATGTTATTTTTTATATAGTTTGCCATACATTGGTTCATTTGGTTCATTTTTTATATTTTATATTTTGGCATTTCATATTGCATTAGAGGTTTTTTAGAGATATGTGCGGTGCAAAAAATTAGGTCATTTATTTCGTCAGGCCAAGGGACGTGCTGTTCAAATAGCTTTTAGCGCTGATGAAAGAATCTTCACTTGTTTAGTACATGAATTTTTTTCACTTTTTTTATCAACACGAATTATTTGCCTTTTGTATATTTTTTTATTTATTTTTTTGATTTTTCATAAATTCAAAAGATTTGTCGTTATGTAATGAAATTTTTTTTTTTAGTCATTGTGCGATTTTCGATTTTTCACTTATAAAAATAAATAAAAATACGAATATTATTTCATTATTAATTTTTGGTATTTTACGGAGATTTTAGCAGTTTTTTCTATGATAATAGGTTTATATTAAAATTTTTTCGTATTTATTTTTTCTTCATTTGTAGTTTGATTTCAGGGTGCTTCCAATGTAGTCGATATTTATCGAATATATAGCGATGATGAAAGAAGGAAAAGAATTTCTAAAAAATTGCGAAGAGCAAAAAAGAGAGCATGTGAAAGGTAAAATTACAGTACAGTTTTTTTTCTCCATTACAGTTGTTGTTTTTTAAAATAAATGAAACATACATTTCATGCCATTCATATCATTAAAGATTGTTTTTCAGAGGTGAAACTGATACTTTAGCGGAAAACGATGTTGCAAAAGATATAACAACTATTATCTCACGAATAGGCGATTATAGATCAAATTCTAAGGTAAAATGGATTGATTTCGTTATCTCGATGAAGCAAATCGAAAAGGATCTGTATGAATATCGAGTGATTTTTTATTATCATTCGTTTAAATATATTAAGCAATTTTCCACTGATTAAAATTTGTTTAGATAAGATTATTAGTTAATGAATTATTAATTAGTTAATGAATGCGAAAGGGAAAGCCCAATCTCATATTACTTTTGGATGTTGGATGCTGGTTGTAAAATATATAAATCTTTTTTTGCTATTTAAATTAAAATTTTTTTAGTTTTTTGCTTTACAAGCCAACAATGCATTAAATTTTGTGGTCGCTACTGCAAATTTCAAATCGAATAAAATAGAACATTCGATTTTGTCTAATCTTGATAAGGTGAAATTTTAATTATTTGCTATTAAGTTTTCAACCTTTTTCTTATTCTGAAGTTCATCTTGAATTTTTTTAAAGTTAGGACATCGGTATGATATCAGATGCCTTGCGATGGCTGAAAATGATTTTGGTTTCGCATCGGGAAGTTCAGAATGTGCTATTGTTTGGAATCGTTACAGTTTGAAGGTTAATAAATATCTTAAATTAATTTCCTTATATTCAATCAATTAAATTTATTTAGATCATTAACATGTTGGAGGATGATGCGATGAAGGAAGTAACTGCAATTTTGTTTGTCACTGGCGATAAACATTTAATCACTGGCACTGCTGTATCGGTTTATTTCTTTTGATAAAATTATTTTGCCGATTTATTTTTTTGGCAAGTTGTTTGTTTTTTCAGTCTGGCAGTCTTTTTCTGTTCGATTTGGCTACTAATGAGGCATTAGATTTTCGAAAAAAAGCTCATAGTGGCGTCATATGGCAGCTTTCTCCAACTCCAGATAAGGTTTTGAACTGCATGGATTTTCGATCTTTTTCTTTCATTAAAATCTTCACAACAAAAGCTTTATTTTAATTCATGCTTTTAATTTTTTATTAAATATTTATTTGGCACTGTTTTTTTTAAATTAATGCAATTCAGTGCGATAAAAAAAATTTCATTTTTGAATAGCAAATTTTGTTGGATTTACTGTATTTTATTTTTATTTCAAAAAATTTCTCGAGAATGTCTAAATTATTTATTTATTTCCCATTAATTTGACATACAATGTTGCAATATTATCGTTATTTAAGTACTGTTAATTTTTGTTTACAGAAAGGATTCATCTCCTGTAGTGCCGATAAAAAACTCATATACTGGAGTTATGAATTGGTCAAAGATATGTTTAAGTGAAACTTTTGATCTTTTGGTTTTTTTATAAGAGTGACAATGAAAATAGAAATGCTTATTGTATTGATTTTTGAACAATAATCATTATTTTATTCAAAGTAGTGATATTCAGTTCAGCAAATATAATTCAGAAATGTGCTTTCATTCCAATCGAGGCGCATTCTGGAATTGCCAGATGAGGCTCTCTGTTTGGCTGCCAGCACCGATTCTAGATTGATTTCTGTAGGCCTTTTGGATAATACAGCTAGGATTTATTTTGTGGATACTTTCAAATTCTTCATTTCATTGTATGGTCATTCATTACCTGTTACAACAATTCATATTTCATCAGTGAGTTAATATTTCGTTCCCTTTTTTTCTCGGATACAATTTAATACAATATTGCTTTTTCTTATTTTTTTCAGGATTGCAAATTGGTGATCACAGGTGGAGCAGATAAAACTGTAAAAATATGGGGGTTGGATTTCGGTGACTGTCATAAATCACTGTTTGCCCATAATGATATGTAAATTTTAAAAATAACTTGTAACATGACTGAATTATATATGAATTTAATGAATAATTCTGATTATTTATGTTTACCCATATTGAAGGCCAAAAAATTTTTTCAGTGTAACTTGTGTACAGTTCGTTCCAAATGAACACCTTTTTTGGTCAGCAGGAAAAGATGGTTTATTGAAACAGTGGGATGCTGATAAATTTGAACAAATACAAGTATTGAGTTTGCATTCAGCAGAAATTCGTGCTATAACACAGACAAACAGTGGCAGATATTTGGTAAATTTTCAGTGTATCGTAGCAGTCATTAGTTATTGTGTAACATTCATAATTTCATAATTTGAAAATCTTACCGCTCCAAAACTTTTTTTTGTGAAAAAAATGTTTGTTTTTTATTCTATAAAAATGGTCGTAAAAAGCCATGGCATTATTGTTATATTTTTTTATTTGCTGTTACTGATATTATTTAATTTGCAACTGATTTTACTATATTATTAATTTGAAGATTTCTGCATCTCACGATAAATCAGTTCGAATGTGGGAATTAAGTGAAGAAATTCTAAATTTACAAGAAGAACAAGAAATAGAAAGAGAGAAAGAGTATGAAAAACGGCTTATTGAAGTGGAAGATATTGTGCCTGGTGAAGAGCGAATTGTTGAGGCTGATTTAGCGGCTCAAAAAAGTATTCATAGTATTGCATCGGTATAATTTTCTCAAAAATCATAATTTTATATTGAAAAGCAAGATTATAAACGCATCTTAATTTGTAAAAATTTTTTTTCTTTGAATTGAATTGAAAAAAGCATTGCATCTAGATAGCTGGTTTTTTTTGAGTTTTCTCCACTTTTTTAATTTTTTTAATATTTAGACAAATTTTTAGGCTGAAAAAATAATAAATGCAGTGGAAATTGTAAGGAAAGAAATGGCTGCTAAAGGCGATAATCCCTACGTTTGTAATTTTTTTATTTTTTTAAAAATTTTTTTCACTAGGAATATAAATGTGTGTAATGATTTAATGATGTAATTTCTTAGTACTATGTTGTACAATGTTTAATATAAGGTAATTATGCAGTTAGCCTTTAAAAATTTAGTGATATAATAATATCACTTTTTAATTAGTTATAGTGGTGATATTAATAGTATGGTATCGTATTAGGACATTTGCGAATGCCTCATCCTTTTAACTGATGAGGCCAGCCAAATCAGTAACTGTCAAAGAATAGTAAATGAATTGATGAACTGATGAATAAATTTATGCATTCCATTTTATTTTTATCATTTGTGCCACTAAATATAAGGTAATGAAACAGATTCACTATTCATTATTTATTTGGATTTGGATACTTCGATTCATTATTTGGAAATATATGTTGAAAGAATTTACAGGAGCAACATAATTCATTGGTACAATATATGAATAGCTCATCATTTGACTTTTTTATTCTTGATATAATTCAGAAAATTCCATCAAGGTTTGCTTTATGTTTTTTGCTTTACCTTTCTTTTCACTTTTAGGCGGTGACAAGAATTGTTTTTTTCAGCCATCTAGAAAAAAGTTTACTTATGGTGCCATACAAATTTGTGCCGGATATTTTGCATGCATTGGGAACGTGTATTTCAAAGTATTATAGAGTCGAACTGGCTTCTCGTGTTCTTATGTTCCTAATCAAGTCATTTTTTTTCTGTTTTACTGGTTTAGTAATTATTGTATTTATGCTATTGCTTTTTGTTTTCCTTGCAGTTGTGCCCCTTGCCTGAGGGAGTTTAGTCTTTTTCATGGGCCTTTAGAGCTTGTTATTTTTCAACTTTCCTTTCCTTGTCACTTTCTTCCTTGATTTTTTGACGACTTTTCTCCAATTGTCACTCGTTTTTGGTATGGTTATTTATGACAATTGTTCATCATTAATTGTTCGTTGTTGGCTGTAATGATGCGTTTGTTCGGATCCTGTTTTTTAGTTCGCGACATCAAAGTAGCCTTTCGCTTTCACCATTCGATGATAATTAATAATGGCATAATGAAGGATGTAAATATATAATTATAATTATAAAACTATTAATAATACGATAATTTTGCTGCAATTTATTGCATGATTATATTTTTTATTTGCAGAATACATCATAATTTTATAATTAATTCTTCCGAATTACTTCCTACAATCGACGTGCTGCGCAAATCTGTTCCACTTGCGCTGGAACATTTGAAGGTTACACTTATTCTACTGAATTTTTTTTAATTTTCAATTTATAATTTTTTTGTGCTATTTTACGATTATTCTTTTATAATTTTTTGCCAGTTGATTTAACCAATTTTTTGGATAAATTTTGACTATCATAATATATATTTTAGTTTTTTAGGATGTATGTGGGTATAATTTCGCAGCATTACGTCTTTTTAAGAAACAGATTGAAGCACGCACAGAAACAAACTTTTTCGCAGATGTTTCCGAAATATCAACGAAAGAAAATCGAAAAATCAAAAAAAAAACAGCCGTTTAAATATATATATGATGGCAATTTTTCCACATAATTGTATCGTTTTTTATTTCTACTTTTGGTTTTTTGTTTATTTTGTTGTTGAATTGTTTATTTATTATTAATTATTTCATACATAAAAATTGATTCAAAACGTTCGCTTTATCAAAGTGAAAAATTAGCATCGTTTACAGATTTTTTCTTTGTGTTGCTTTATTGATACTCGTGATTAAAAAATTTCAAATTTCGAATTTCTGCAGGAGAAAATCCGAAAAAAATTTGGAATAGTTTTTATAACTCTTCAAATTTTTTATCTGTTATCTATCTGGGCTGAATTAGCGTTATAGCTTAAGCTTAAGCATAAAGTCTAACAGTAATTTCCGAAAAAATTGAAAGAAGGGAAATAATCGCTTTTTATTTTATTTAAGCGCGGTTTTGGTGGAAGAATTTTCATTTTTTATTTTTATTTCTGCACTCGTATAGTGGTGGTTTTTCTTCAAGGATTTTGTATTTCTGCTTTGAAAAGTTGGCTAAAAATGGCCAATTCACGATTTCAATGTTTAATTTAACTTATGCTGAATAATTCAGCTTCTTTCATCTCGATTAATTCAAAAAGACCGAATCAATGTGCGTTGATGCCAGCCATGTCTTGTGAACATAATTAAATTTCATTTTCTTGGTTATTTTTAAAAATTTTACTGCATTTTAGGATTTTATATAGAATATTGACGAATAAATCTTAGAGAGGCAGTAAGTACGCTTTCTCTCTAAAACGAATCTCATTGCTGAAGGAAATTTGTCTAATTTTATGTTCTCTTGGCTTCGCTCCTCAATCAATCAATTTGTCAACTCCGTTATAATCAATTTGTCGCGAAATGCGATTTTTCCACTATTTCAAATTTATTTCAAACTGGTGAACCAAATGAAGCCTTTCATTAACTTATTAATTCTTTGCCTTTACATATATCAATAAAAAATAAAGGCCAATTTATGGTATATATTGTATATTCTTCTCAAGGGAATCGTCCTTCTTCCTTCATTTTGGTGTTATCAAGAGACCCGAGCGGTTTCGTCTCAATATTTCAATATCATATACTTTGTTATTTAACATCCCTTATATTGTTTAATTTAATCATTATTTGTTTTGAAATAGTTACCTTTGAATTTAATTCGTATCAAATGTTGTTTTTTCTGTCTATAAATTAATCGATTTAATTACCCAAGTGGCGAATAAAAATTTTATTAATACGTGCTGTGTTATCGGTGTTAATCAGTATTCTAATGTCCTGATAAAACAGCCGAATCAAGGTTATTCTAAAATATTAACGCGTGGCAGGCGAGTGAAATCCCACTGATTTCAAATATTATCAATCTATCCTTACATAATCCTCTCAAACTTTTCCCATTTTATTATCAAAAGTGAACTCCAGATGGTGATGAAGACCTATCCATTCTATTCTCAATGGTTCTCTTATGAGGTATCTTCAACAAATGTACTCTTTAGTATGGAAAAAAGAAATATTACCAGATGATTGGAACAAAGCAATTCGGCTCCCAATTCTCAAAAAAGGTGATAGGACATGTTGCCACAATTATCGAGGAATCAGCCTATTAGACGTCTCAGCAGAAATTTTTGTTTTCCTGCTACTCAATAGACTTATGTAAGTACGAGACAGCAGGATGCGCCCTAATAAAGCTGGTTTCAGACCAGGGCGCGGTTGTGCTGACCAGATATTCACGTTAAGAAGGGTGTTGGAACATCGCTCCAAATATTTGCAACCCACTGTCACGTGTTTTATTGACTTTGCGGCTGCCTTTGATTCAATTGATAGAGCGGCGCTTTGGAGGGTGATGGAACATGACGGTGTTCCAGAGAAAATCATTAGACTCATAAACGCATTTTATGAGCGCACGTCGGCGCAAGTCTGTGTATATGGAGAAATTCCTTCGAAATAAGAACAGGTGTCCGTCAGGGCTGTATCCTTTCCCCCACAATATTCAACTGTGCGATAGACTGGATAATGGACACTGGTTGTCCACTCAAAAAGGTGTCCGAATTAGTCCAGAGCATCGTATCACAGATCTTAAAGATATTACAACTCGCATCACGGCAGCTAGAAATACGATAAATAGGTTGACGAAACCTTTATGGAATCGTCGTGAAATCACCATAAAAACGAAAGTTCGCATCTATATTGCCGTGATCCGTTCGATCTTATTATATGGTTCTGAGATGGCATGGCCAATGAGAGTGGAGGATATTAAGAAGTTATCTGCCTTTGACCACTCTTGTCTAAGGTACATATTACGGGTTCGCCGAGTGGATAAAATCTCACTACATCGCATCCACCTTCGTTCAAATACCACTTGCATAAATAATGTTATCACTGAACGCCGCCTTCGCTGGTTAGGGCACATTTTCCGTCGTCCACCACACGAGTTGATGTATATTTCACTACTTGCCGAATCTTGCAATGGTTGGCGTCAAAAGCGAGGTGGGCCAATCAAGACCTGGACTGATACGGTGAGAAAAGATTTTGAACGTATAGGTGGACCAGCAATATATGGACTTAGACAATGGAAAAAGGAATGGCTTCCATGACTATCGACGATGGACGATGGTCATCAGAACGCGCCGCTTGAAAGCGTCTTACCCTTGTAGCCGTTGGAGCCAGCCTAACCAGTAATGGTGAGAGCTGTTAGAAGAAAAAGAAGAAGGTTCTCTTATGAAAAGGTTTCGACCTAACAACCAATCTACGCTCAACATAATCTTATGAGATGTACTTTACGTTAAACAACCTTTTATATTTCTTGATTTTCAAATGAGGTAAGTCCTCGTAAAACCCGTCGCGAAAAAAGGGTATTCTGTTGTTATGATAAGTCGAAAAGGAAAATTTTATTTTACCGTTGAATTATAGCAACAATATATTACAATAGTATAATAATTGGGTCAAGGAGACGAATGGGATAAAGTTAAAGAAGGAGAATGTCTCGTTGAATTCTGGTTTAAGGAGAGATTGTTGGTCGTTTGAAGTTCCCGTTCGTCCTTTGGAACACCCACGCAAACGATTCTATGAGCTTATTTTTTTCCCATATGTGGGTTGAGCTTACAATATTATGCAAATTACATAAAAAATTGTAATTGTAATTGTAACAAATTACGTAAAAATTATTATTGCTTTTTCTTTCAAGGGTAGTACAGCTGTTTCACAGCTGCATTTAAAATTTGTAAATAAAGTAATTTTTTCTATAAATTAGCAAATGGATGTAAATATTTATGTAAAAAAACGAAAAGAGATATATTTTGTACGATTTGAATATTAAGTAGGCTGGCTCATTACTGTGAAAAGTCCTTTGTTTCGGTTTTTTCCAACAATAATTCTGTTATTTAACATCCCTTCGAATCCTGTTGTACTATTTTCCCATTCGTCAAATCTTCGTCATTCGTCTTTAAAATCCTCTCTTTTATTCTCTTTTAAGGCCCTCGATCTTGGGTCGATAAAGCTTGTACAGCGAAATTTGACGGGAAACGATAGTTGGAATAATTAGTTTCAAAAACACTAGTGGTTAAAATCGACGTCTGAATGGGAGTTTTGGGAAGGTCAAGGAAATTTTAACAGTTTTTCGGAAGATTTTTCACAAAACTTGCCAGAAGATTTGGAAGAATACCATAGTATTTGAATATTAATAGTAAAATATTCGGGCCGAGATTTGGCAATAGAAGGCCGCGGTCGCGTTTCGCTAGCCAACTGTTCCCTTATCTATTTTTGTGCGACGAGTGTATTAATTCGTGCTTTCCGGATAAGTTTTGTATTATCGATTTCGTCGCGTAAATTTTCTGCTAATTTTTTTTTGCATTTTCAACATTTGCGATTCGATAATGTATTGAGAAATCCCTTATTTTAACTAATAAATGCGTAGCAGTTAGAGATTTCTTTTTTTCACTTTTTATTTTATCGCTTAAAATCTGCGATGAATTATTCGAATCGAATTTAGCAGTGCCATATGGATTTTGCCTCGTAAAGGAAGAGGAAGAGTTTCACTTTGAATTGGTCTTTTATGAGCATAGAAGGAAGGCTGAATGCGACTGGGCTCGGACACCTGCTCGCACCATTTTCGGTTCCTTGGTGAGAAGGTCGTTCATCGTTCAGCCTGCTGCTTGATGCGCGCTGACCTCCCTAAGCTGTTCATACACGCGATAAGCATGTGAAAAATGTCGCGCAAAAGCAAAGGTACCATCAAAGAAAGCATCGGAACCATTGCGGATCTTCTGGCACTGGGCGAGGCCTTTGTCGCAACTGCTCATAACGTCTGAACTTTTTGGAGGCTCTAATTCTGTCGCATTCTTCTCGGTTTTCGGCTTTCCTCATTCCAGATCCAGATTTTTTGCTCGTTTGGAGCAAAATTATTAGTTTTGCGATAAAGTTTCACATCTGGAGATTTTAAAATTGATAGGGCACTCGTAGGATTAAAAAATTTGAAATTTGATTACTTCCTTAATAACTATTTTAGTTAAATTCTTCCTCTTTTCATTGAAATTTAGTTTACTCTTTAAAATTTAGAAAAATTTTCAGTTTTTTTAGATTTCAAGAAAAAATTTGGTTCGAACTTTTCACTTTTTCACATTTTTTTCAAGCAGAAAATTTTCGATCGAAATTCGAAAAATTAGTATTAAAAGCATGAAAAATTGCTATAAATCTAATTGATTGTGTAAAATTGTAAGCGGTCGCCATTTAGCGGTAATCTGGTTAGGTTATCTACTATCTAACTCCACGGTTAGAAATTTTTGTCAAGGAGGAATTTTGCGATAGAAATGCAACACTGCCATCACCAGCCAGACCAGGTTTACTCTTGTGGACCATAGGTGCCGAACTTTTTCGACACGACACGCTATTTAATTGCCCCTCAAATATAATCTGAGATTAGCTGATAAAAGTATTTTTCAGATGCTCGTATGATCTTTTTTGTTTGGTCACTTTTATTATCAGCTGTACAATATGCTAGACGTCATCGTCTTAACTCGATACTTTCCCAATATTTTTTAACGCAATATTCGCAAAAGACGATGCTTGTCTTTCGTAAAACCTCATCCTTATCCGTAGCTGCTAGAAATATTTCCAGGTTATCTCTTTTCACTACTATAATTAACTAAAAACAAAAAGTGGCGAAATTGAAGAAAATAAAAATATACAGATTCATAAAATTATTGGCTGAAAAATAATTTGCATTTTTTATTTGATCAAATTGGTTTATCGCTTGAACGAATAAAGTCAATATCAGATTTATATTAAAATTGAATTTAAATTTTTATTTTTTTCATTTTCATTGTCTCTTTATCAACATAAACTCATAACTGCTCTGCTTGATAATTTTGCAAGTAAATAAGTATATAATAAGAGAGTAAATAATATTAAATAATAAGAGTACCATTTGAGGAGATTGGAATATGGAAATACGGCATTATGGAAAATGAACAGTGAACCATGTCTTCCATACGATTCGGAAGCCTCAATTTTATATCGAAACGAGCAACTTGAAATTGTCGTCCAACCAACCGCGGTAATTTTAAGTAATTTTAATTTTCTTCCATTAGCTTAAATTGAAATATTTTCAGTTGGATTTTCATATTTCGGATTGGCAGATAATTGCTCAACCACCAAGAAGATATTCCACACGTATATCGTTTATTGCTTCACTTGGCTGTGTGACTACGAACAATAAAAATAATGGAGAAGTTGAAGAAGACGCTTTATCATCGATGAATGTACTTATTAATGACAATTCTTTGGTTGCTGCTAGTCAAAAACAGTTGAACGACTTTAACCATTTCGAACCATTTTTGGTTAGTTTTTTTTGTTGAGGATGTGAGGGAAATAAATTTAAAATAAATTTAAAATTTAAAATAAGAGAGAATGTTCTGAGCATAGATGATTTCATATCAGATCAGACAATTATGCAAGAAACTTGGTCATCATCGTAGCCGACCATGGGAAATTCTATACGATTGTGAACTTGAAGATTTCTATGCTATAGCTTTTGCATGGATCGAGAATTCATTACTCGATATCGGTGGTAAAGCTCGGGTGAAAACTATCAAAAGTATGTTTATTTTTTTCTCCCAATAGTCATCACCATTTGTTACTTTACAGGTTTCATTATTACATAAATTTTTTCACCGGAGTCATTTGGAGATAAAAATCCATGTGCCCACTGTAACTCCGGTTTCAAAAATACATATGCCCAATGTTACTCCCATATCATTTCATAATGAATTTGTTTCCTTAATTTCCAAGTAATCGGATTCGAGATTGATTTCAGAAGAAAAGTAAAATTCATTTAGTATTACTTTTTGGTCATCTTTTCGTCTATTTTTTCTTCATTGCTTATTATCAACTGATTTTTTTAATTTTTAATTTTCGGTCATTTTTCGATTAATAGAGACAATAAATGTTTAATTCGTTAATGGACCAATAAAAGAACAAATTGTAGCTTATACTGAATTTACTTGAAAGCTAATCAAATAAAGAAATAAGATTATTATTTATTTATGTCATATGCAATAATTGTCCGATACGATTTATCCGATTCATCTCAACGGGCAGTATGGCATTGTAAAAGCAAGAAACCGTTTACTTAATGATTTACTTTTTATATTATTTTAGATTTAATATAAGTTCGTCTACATTTTATTTTGAAACATTTGTGAGATCTCATAACATCTGTGAATTGCAGTAATGAACGAATTTTTGAAATATTCAAGATAGTAACTTTGACATTGATCAAAGATAGCTTGAATGAGCTATTAAAGACAAAAATAGAGAAATTAATTGCAATAAAAAATAAATGCTATAAAATAAATATCTCTGCTATCCAAAAGTTTAAGGCCAATAAAACTCCTGAAAAACATGGTCTTTGGGCCGGACTCTTCAAATATTTTCCATCGTCCTTCATCACACCTTTAACAAATGTAATCATTGGTATGAAAGAAGGAAATAATGTCAGATGATTAAAACTAAGCAACTCTGTTCCCAAATCCTAAGAAAGGAAATATTATGGCAATTATCAAGGAACTAGCCTATTAGGTATTTGAGAAAATTTTCGCGATCATTCTTTTGAATAGACTTATGGCAATATGAGACCGCTTTAATCAAGCTGTGTTCAGACTCGGTGACCGAATATTCAGTATGAAGAATTAAAGTAGCAACACAAATTTCGATGATGCATGGCGATTCCTACCACTAATTTCACAAAAATTCCTTCGGCCCAGGATTTTTATCTGTCAATAATATCTGTCAATAATATAATATTAAATTCTTCGACCTACGTTCTTCTATAATATAAGTTTCTTCATAATTATCTCATTGCGAAAGCCTCAGATTCAAACTTGTAATTAAACCATTTATCGTGTATATAATGTGTGCGACACAAAATAATATGCACAAAAAGCACAAGTAAAATTATTGTTATTACCGAATCACGAATGGGGAAAGGTGAGGCACTCGGCAGCGGCACGACGCAACAACGTCGATGTTGACGCGAACGTCCTTACTCAACGCATTCCTGATCCCAAACCATACCCTAAGCCATTCCCCAAACTACTCCTTAGACCCCTTTTCCCACCCCTTTCCCCATTCCTCTCGACGAGAACCCAACAACGGCTAAAATGTTCTCTTAGGAATTTATATTTATTTTGAGATGGGCGGAGGGAAGTTTGTTTATCTTTAGTTTTCCAAAGGTGAAAAATATCCCCCTTGTACTGTCGAGATATTCTGCCATAATTTTGAGATGTTTTTTAATCTCCTCTTTAATTCTAATCTTTCTTAAATACCCAGTGATTTTTGAGACGTTACAGCTATGACGTGTATGATTATTATTTTAATATATTATATTAATGATTTTCGCCATTCGACTGGGATGTTTTGGAACATCCTTTCAAATATCGGCAAGCCACCCTCACTGCTTCAGGGAAGACCATTTGATTCATGAAGATATTAGCGTAGATCGGCATAGGTCTATGGAGAACCGGTATTCTCTTTCAGAATATGAATGGAATCATGAGATACGAATTAGTCCGTCAAGATTGATTCTCCTATAATGTTCAGCTATATGCGATAGACTGGATAATGGACATCATTTGTTGCTCTCAAGAGGTGTACAAATTAGTGTAGAACATAGTATTAAAGGCTTTGAATACGCTGATGATATAATCTTTTTTGCTGATTATTATGAAATTGGGATTTCTTACTCTATTTAACTCCCTCTATTGATGAAAATTTTCTTTTTTTTTCTTAATAGCATCATTAATAGCAATAGCAATAGTTAATTTTCTTAATAGCATCATTTTATAGAGCAATATATCCCTTTAAGAAAAAAAAGCGTTAAGTCGATTTCCATTTTTTTAAAATCTAAAAAAATGTAGCTTTATAATTAATACAAATTGCCAAGTGACCACTCTGCATATATAGAATGGTTTAAAAAGTTTCCTTATTGCCATTCATAATTATTTGTCGAATAAAGATGAGCGACTTTTAAATATTAATAAAAATTCTTTCTGGACCTACATCAAAAGAAAATTCGAAAATCTACGTAAATCCACAATTAATCCACAATTAATTAGTCAACACAATGATAATGTGATCACCTCTGATATTGATATTGCAAGTATATTTAATCAATATTTTTCTGGTGTATTTGTTGAGGATAATACTCATACTTCTTATTTTAACGTAAATCGAATTTCTTAAATAGACTTAAGCGGTCCACTTCAGCTGGTCCGGATAATAATAATAATTTATAAATATTATCAATTTATTTATTAATAATTTATAAAAAATGTCAGTTTTTCTGAGTCTTCCCCTATTTTTAATTTATAAGGACATTATGAAATCTGGCCTTAATCCCAAAGTTTGGAAATTGTCTCATATAATTCCCATTCATAAAAAAGGACCTATGACCCTTCCTAACATGCGTTGTTAGCAAGGTACTCGAAAGGTTGATTTGCATCAAATTGGTTACTTATCTTGGTGCCAATAATTTTATATCCCCTTATTAGCATGGCTTTTGTAGAACTAAAAACTACTTCTTCACAAATGTTGGCAAGTCGTTCCGATTGGTCAGCAACAACGGAAAAATAGTGTATTAGTTTTATAGTGTATTAAAAATAGTGTACCTAGATTTAGCTAAAGCTTTTGATACTGTTTCCCATAGCAAATTATTGATCTCTTAATAGTTATGGCATTACAGAGACTCTTTATAACTGGGTGTCCGATTTCGTAAAAGATACATTCCTGTTAAATCTGGTGTTCCCAAAGTAATTGTATTGCGCCATTGCTTTTTCTATTATATTTAAATGATAAATGCCAATATGGTACTAAATTCTATTATTTATCTTTATGCTGATGATTCTAAAATTTATTATTCTCATGGTAGAACAAATCTCCACCTATCTTCATTGCCTCAATAGCCAATTGGCTATATGATAGGCAAATTATCGTTTCTTTTCAAAAGTGTAGCGTTCTTAGCAATTTTAATTATAAAAGAAAACTTTATAATATAACCTGGATTCTCTGTCAATTCGTCGTATTAAATAAGATTATACTTATATACTTTATATTTTATACTTATAAAATAGAATTTATACTTATAAAATTCTGTGTGGTTATGTTAAACTAGATTGTTGAAAATATTATTTTTTAGGCCAAAATTTTAGGCCAAATTTGAATCCAACAAGAACTAATGGGCTAAAATTATTAAAACCTGTGTGTAAAACTAAACTAAGGACTCATGATTTTTTATATTCTAGAATAAACTACAAACGATATTATTATATTAATTATATTATTAATATTATAATTATATTATATTATTAATTATATTATATATAATTATATATAATTAATATTAATATAATATATTAATATTAATTATATTATTAATATTAATATTGTAATATTAATATTATATAATAATATAATTAATATTAATATATTATATTAATATTAATTATTATATATTAATTACTAGAATAAATTATGAACGATATAGCGCCATCCCTAGGTATCTTTAAAGAAGATTAGATAATATCATTTGTGATATTATTTATTAATTCTATTCTCGTGAGCGGTTGTGTTAGTCATTCTCTCTGTTTTTCATTATTTTATTGTATTGTGCTTCGCTAAACTATAGAAGGAATATAATAATCTTATTACATTCGTCTAAAAGATATTCTTTTCAAAAGTATATTGATCTTATTGTTTTACTTTTACCGTTCACTTGTAAGATAAGAGGAAATTCCAAATGGCACCGAAAAAGGTAGCAGCTTATGGGGCCGTTTCCAATAATGATGTTAGCTGTTTAAATAAAACTATCGAGGATCTGAGGTCACAATTAGCTTCCATTACTGAGAAATATGAAAAACAACAAGATCTAATTATGCATTTGACTAGATCTGTTGAAATACTTACAAAGGTCAACGAAGAACTTAAGAATGATATTAATAATTTGAAAACTTCTTTGGGCAACTTCGAGCATTCAAAAATTGAAACTGAACAAGTATAGGAAACCATTGAAGAATATTTTGAAAAGAAGGAAAAAGTACCATGTCTAGTTGGCATAAACATTCCAGAGAAATCTACGGATGATGAATCTGCTACTGCCGATAGGCTCTTAGCGGAAAACATTGTAGTTGCCGCTGGGTTCAAGACTGAATTCATTAAGGAGGTTCGTCATGGAAGGAAGGGGACAGAGCGGCCACAAGTACTTAAAATTCGTCTCGAAGATAAGCATCTGTTTTGCGTAACAAGGATGTGCGCTCGATTGTTCCCCCTGGAAGTTTTTTGCGAAAAGATCTGACGAAAAGAGAATTATTGCTAGATAAACAGCTGCGAAAAGAATGTTATACACGAAATCAAAGTCTCAATCTGAAAAAGTATGTCGTCAGAAATCTTCAAATAGTGGAACTCAGGCGACCTCGCCAATGGATTGCACCGACGAGGAATTTTTTGATTCCAGCATATTCTCATCAGTTTGCAGCAGACTAGGACAAGTTATCAAGTAAGATTAATAAAATAGGAGGTAATTTATCTTTATTTAACGCAAGAAGTTTAAGTTTGAAATATAAACTTTATGACTTAAGACTCTTACTAATTGATAACCCAAACAGTATTTTCTGTATCAATGAAACGTGGTTGGATGACTCTATTGATAATCGCGAACTAAACTTTGACGGCTTTATAGTATCACGCAAGGATAGAACAATAAGTAGTTCAAATATTCGTGGATAAATAGTTCAAATATTCGTGGAGGTGGGCTTATCATGCTTGTTCCTGATTATCATAAATTTATAACCTTCGATGATTATGTTTGCTCCTCTTTTGAATCTTTGATAATTAAAATTTATCTTAATAACAGAAATATTTCCCTTTTAAATCTATATCGCCCATCGGGCTATGGAAGCAAATTCACCAGGGACCTTTACAAGATTTTCCTCGAGATTTTCTAGAAGTTACAGTCACTGTAATTATGAAACCCTTAACTCTATCCTCGCAGAAATAAACTGGGATTTCTTATTCTGTTTAATTC